AGAGAGAGAGAGAGAAAACGGAAGCGGAAGGGCCGGGCGCGCAATCTGCGTCTATTTGCCGGTAGAACACGTGTATTAGCTGACGGAATATTACATTCGCGTTGCGAAACGGAGAGAGAGTTTGTGGTGGTTAATGGAAATGTATCGAGGGGGATGACGGCGAACGCGCTTTCTGTTAGTGTGCCCTTAACCCTTCCGTATCCGTCGCATCCATTTTAATTAGCGTTTCACTGGTCCTCCAGAAATTTCCTCGCAGATTTCTCTCGGCGACACGATAGAGAACGATATTCATGATATATTCTTCTACGAAAATTGGAACGTTACTTGAAGATCCGAGAAGTTCAATAAAGTCATATGTAAAAATTATTTACGCTTCGAGTTTGTATTTGTTTAAAAAGAATAATTATTTTTAACATTTCGATAATTTTGCTGATAAAAGTCGATTTTCATATGAAATCTATATTTACCTCGCAATGTATATTCCAATATTTTTTATACGCTAATGACTGCGAGCATTATGTGAAAATAGGTTGTCACGATTACAGTTGGCAAAAAACGACGGGCTCTTCCTCTCACACGTTGGCAAAACGCATCCTTTAATGGCCGGTAATGTCGTGTGCACGTAGTTTATCTTTCGCTCTTCTGGCAAGGGAATTGTGTTGTTACCTTTGGGACTGATTCATAAAATCCTCGCATTCGACCAACTCTCACACAATGGTATCTTTTATACATTACAATTATACGATTCCGACATTATTTTTCATTCCGTCATCCCGTCTAATTTAATCGTAGTTCACGATAGAATGATTCGTTGGAAACTACTTATTATATAATTATTTCTCCTTTTTATTATTCCCCCTCCCTTCTCTCTCTGTCTCTGTCTTTTTCTTACACGTATATGTACACATTCTCACTTCTCTGTGCAATGTATTCGTTGTGTTAATTGAAACGGATTTATTATGTTACAAACACGCTCCATGAAATGCTTTGATAAATGTTTACTTGGTAAACGAAACTTTATATCCACTTGTGGAAAGAAAAAAATTGTCAATTGTCAGTTGTGAACGAATAAAATTACCCGTAACGTAAAAGGCTATTACAGTATCATAATAAGCGCATCGAAGAACACCAGAAAAAATATAATTGCTGATTCTTTCTTGATATAATAATCACAGGACTCTCTTATCTCTCTTATCTCCCGCTTTTCCAAAATAATTACATTAAAGCGAATAAATTTCTCATTACTTTTACTCCATTAACTCTCTGCTATTAGCCTTCTAGCGCATTAGTAAAGAAGCGCTCCGTAAATCAGACAAGTGAGATGAGAATTTTTCGAATTTTCAACGCGCATTTCTACGGAGGTTGTTCTCCGAAAGGAGCAAGACGCAGAATGCGTGCCCGAATAATATAAGACGATGAGATATTGAATTTCAACTTCAGACAGAGGCTGAACTTCAAAGTACCGCGGCGGCTATATTTCTGTCTGCCTCGCTGCGAGTCTCGGTCGAATGATTATAAGAAGTGGAAACGATAAATAGTCTGCCTCTACTTGAAGTTACGTCGCTTTTTTTTTTTTTTTTTTTTTCTTAAATCCCTCTTATCTCGAAAGGCATCTACAGGACGTCCAGGTATTCGCGACCTTAACTTTGACGACGGATTCTCTCTGCCGGAAAGCAAAAGGGAGAAAAAAGAGAAAGAGAGCAGAGAAAAAGTTAAAGAGCGTGGGGTTTTTAACGAATTTGTTTCTCTCGAAGGACGTAAACTACTCGGAAAATTTACGACTATTCAGACATCTTAATTTCCGGCTAGCTCCGTGCTTCGTTTCTCAGTGAGGTAAAGGCTGCAGGCTCCTCCAACCTTATCCAAATTACAAATCCGCGCTATTGTCGGACGGCGCATTACGCGACTTCCGCACGAGGAAAACATGCGAAATATCACGGACGAATTAGAATGAATGCCGTCCTCGGGCAACCTTTACGAGGCCACCGCGTATCCCAAGCGGCGTTAATACAGAAATTAAGTTACGAGCGCGCAGTCGTGCGAAATGTTTCCGTCGACGGAAGCGATAGCCCCTTCACAGGCAATCTCAAGGAAAAATTGCGATTGCCATCTCCGCCGCCAAGGGAACGCACAAAGTGTCGGAAAACTGCGATTCTCATCGTGATCAGCGTATTATTGGGGACTCCCCTTTTTTACGACTCGTTCTCTGCCACAAAAATCTATGGTGTGTTTCTAATATTCTTCCACATTTTCCTAAATTGGAAAATTGAATATTTCAAAATATCTCTTTCAAATGCTCAAGTCTCCAAAATATTCGTGTTTTTTAATATATGTGTTTAAAAATTTCGAGAGATAAAAAAAATAATTTTCGCTTTAATAATTGACGCTAATAATTGACGCTTTTCAAGTTTATCTTTCTGTTATTCATGCGCTTTAATTAAAAGTCCCAAAATTCTTCAAATTTATTCGTTAATACATATTTCTAATTCCTAAGCAGGGTGGAACAATAGGAATAATTTTGCAAAAAAAGTGAAAATTTCTGTCTTTGTTTACCAAGATCTCTCACGCGTATATATCAGATGTATCTATTAAGATTTCCCAAGAACATTCTTCAAGAGGTTGAGCTTGACGATGCTCGGGGAGAACCGTTATAACTCTCCATACGAGTCTCCGAGAGTTGCGAAACGAGCGAGGGAAGGAAAGAAAGAGAAAGATAATGAAAAAGAATACCAATACTCACCGACTAGAATGAGGATAAATGCTGGATCGAGTGCGACGTTCGTGAGGCGGGACAGGTTGTTGAAGGTGTCCTTTTCGGTCCATGCCCAGACGCCCACCGCCATGATGCCCAGACCGAGCCACTGCGACAGAGAACGAGAGAAAGGGGATGAGAGTTAGAGATTGGCTTAAGTGAAGACGAATATCGGCGGTAAGTTTCAGCCAGCTGGAAACTTCCACCGAACTGTTTTCGCGCCGTCTGCCATATTTGCTAACGGAGTTTTTCCGACGGATTATCCGACGTGAGAGCAAGACGTGAATTTCAATAGCGAGTAACGTATTAGATTGATGCAAATGCGATTCGTGTGTTTACCAAAAATAAAACTGTAAGCGTAATAAATAACATAATTCCACGAGAAAAAAATTATTTGCTACAATTTTTATTTTTTTTCAATTTAAAAGTAATATTAAACTAAACAATTTTTTATAAAAGTAATTTTGTTTTTAATCGAGATCGTTTCCGTTAATTTTAGTTATTTTTATCATGTAAAAAGGGTCGATAAAATTTAAATCATTGGATCAACATAAATTGTTTGCGAGTGCAATAGATTAATCACGCGTTCACGCACTTCTGGAAAAATATAACCATTCGACAAAACTGCAAGGTCTCAATTATACGGATCTGATCGCGTGCGATTGCGCCGTGGATGCGATTGCCCACGGATAATGAGAAAAGCGTCAGGTGGAAGAGCGAAAGAAGAGAGAAAATCGAACGAGAAAGTAGGGTCTAAAGGCTTTCGACCGTTAACGGCCTCGTGGAGGCTCTTTTGCCGTGCACGCGTAGTTACGTCTCAAATAGTTCGCAAACGACAAACGTTCACCGAGGAGTGCTCCTCTGAACCGTTTTGTCGGCGATTCTTTTCGCTCGTTTTGAAGAAACGGTTTTTCGGCCGCAAAGCTTTGAGATCGTGATTTTGGTAGACCAAGCGTAACGGAGTGTTCTCGAGTCCATCGTGATCGATCCTTCGCAACCATGGAATTCTCCGTTCGGTCGGTGTACCGACTGAATTTGAAAGGCCAGTTTTTTCCCCAGCGGACTTTCAATCGTTCGTGAGATATTTTCCCGTGTGCGATTTAGTTATTTCAAACTCTCATCAATTTTAGTAATCCAGATTTCAATGGTTTTTCATCAGAAATTTAGATCGAGAGAAGCTCCGGTTTGAAGCTCCGTCGTGCGCGCGAGGGTGCAAAACGTATACGTATTCAACCCCAATTATCAACAAGGGCGTTAATCATAACGCAGCTTTAATATTAGCCTGACCGACATGGCAACCGCATTTGCGGTGAGATTGATATTCGGCGTGCATTTACCGACGTTAAATCCACGCAATTACCGATGACACACGTAGACTGTGCTCGCGTGACAAGATCGACTTAACTCGAAGTAGCTGCAACACCTGAGGCTGCGCCTGATAACGCGAATGCATCTCGTGGGGTAATCGGTCCTAATCCTCCGGGGGGCGGGGGGTCTCAGTTTATGACAGGGTGCATAACTATTCTCAGTTTGCCTTACGTTCGATAATTTACACGCGCGTCGCACGCAAAGCGGCACGAAATGGGTCACGGCCTCGTAACGCGGCGAATTAAAAGGCGGCGGCACTGTAAATTCCAAATTGTTATAAGAGTAAAATCGCGTAAAATCTCAGTCTGCGTGTATCTAACGATACACGTGCTATAATTATGTATCGCCGTAAACCAGATTGTTCTATTCTAAACCTTTGCACAATAGAGAGATCGATATCTCTCGTTCCCGACTTAACTCGCAGATGATCATTCGATTTTTTCGCAAAAAGTTTTGCCCGCGCGAATCCGTGCCACGTACTTATCGCCGACGTCGTTGTAACGTTGATATTCATAAAAAAATTATGCGTCATAGCTTTTGAAAGTTAAACGACCTGTGCACGCTACCGCCACGCGCGATAATATCTCACGAACAAACGCGGGCGGCCTCGTTTTTTTCTCTCCTCTTTTTTTTTTCGCGACCGATTTTGACGGAAAAGAGAAGCGGGCGAGGAGAATCGTCGGACGCGCTCGAATTGTTTGAAACCCATTCGCGGTAAATCATCTCGAAGTCGAAATGTACGCGCGCAAATACGCGGCCTTTCGTAAATATATAACATGAAATATGCAGTGCGTTTGCGTTTTTTTATTACTGACAGCTACCGATCCTGTGCCAATTTTTTTCAGAGTCGAAATCACCGATGAGTAACCATTGTCGTTAAATGGCCATTTTAATTTGCAATTTTGCACGTCAGTACATATTTTGTCTTCTTTTCCGTTCTGGACTAATTATATTTATGTGCATATTTATATTCATAAATGCACATATAATCTAGGCGCTAATAAAAAGCCGAACTCTTCGTCGAACATATACAACAATTATTGGTGTGTAACAATGATTGACGTGTATCGATAAATAATAAAAAAAAAAAGAAAGAAAATAGGATCGAACAATCCTCTGCATGCCGAGCTCTCTCTCTCTCTCTCTCTTTCTTTTTTATCTTTCGAAAGACGGAAGAATTAATTTTTGCCGTTTCACCGCGGAGGTTCGTCGGACGGTGTTTTATTCGCACCATCGACCACTCGCTCATAAAAATCGTCGCCCGAGACGATATTTCGTCCTGTCGCTTCCTGTCGCTTCCTGTACGCGGTCGGTGCAATTGCGCGATGCAACTTTAATGTACCGGAGAGAAGACCGCGGGGGAGGAGGAAAGGGAGACGGCGAGCCGTTCGGTTTCGCGAATATCCTCCCCCGTGGTGCGACAACAAATTTGCCCTCCCCGCGTTTATCTTCGAATATGTGTCATGAACACGGCCGTGTCGCGCGTCAACCCCGGTGGCCGCAAACAATTTCTCAACGGCGTATAATTCACGATCGAACGGATCACGCTCGTGACGTCGAGGTGCGAAGATGATGCCGATGACACGAGTGACGCATGTCCTCTTTTTCCCGCTCGTTGTATATATTAAAATAAAAATACAATTTGTACGTGTTTGCGAGAGAAGAAAAGCGAAAATTAATGTGCGCCCTCATTAATTTTTATACGAATTTTACTATATAAATTTGTCATTATTCTCAAATGTTGTAAAGTAGTTCCGCGATTTTTTTTTTATGCATTTGCATGGTCAAATGCAGTATCGCGAAACAATGAGTCGAAAGTTGAAAGGCACACACGGGCGTCCGTATATTATAATGAAAATAAAGGCTCGCGTGTGCATTTATGATTTCCGTGACTTTTTTTTCGCTTCGACGACTAATCGATATACCGTATCGCCGTATACGTCCAGACTCTTTTTTCATCGCGATTATAAAGCTCAATGTTTTATTCCGCGGTCGGCGTATTTTTGCGTCGTAAAAACGTCCATCGCATCTTCGTATAAATAGATTTTTTAATATCGAATACATAGCATAATGTAAATAACTTCACGTAAATAACTTGACTGAAATTGATCATATATTTTACGTTTACTTATTTATGTTATTTATTTAGCGCTCATGAATTCTCGTAAGAATTGGATGAATTTTTATTCCGTGGTGTAAATGCATTTTACGCCAGGAACTTTAATATTATCACTTTTAGAATCATTACTTCTACAATTAAAATTAATTTCAAGCATTGTCGAAATAGGAAACTCGCCGGTTATCAGAGAAAAAAATGCTCTTTAATAATTTATGTGTTTAGAAATCCTGCTTGAAAATATATATTGGGAAAGAAAAATTTATTAAGCAATTCCGATTAATGCTAAACAAATATTTTTGCCGAGACGATTAATGACGTGTAACTATATCACGCTATTTCAACAGCGTTGATGAAAATAGATGGCAACGTGCAACTGGAAAACAAGTTTTGGAAAAAATAACACGAACGGCGACGCGGGATAAAACTTTTCCTTTGAACGCATGCGCGCGTATTTGGTCGAGCACGAATAAATAAAATGTTTATTGTGTAAAGTTAATATTTTCCCAACGGCTCTTTATCCGGAGCGGAGTGTTTTCAGGAGCGTCAAAATCCACGTTATATATCCGGAATACGGTAACGTTGTAAAAAATGTTCACTTTTACGATATTAATTTTTTTAAACGACCGTAGCGAGACGCGGTTTTTTTTTTCAACAATTAGAAATAAATATACACAAATCACATAAATGACTAACCATGTCGCGCGTATATTGCGAAATTTTGTTATTTTTTAAAATAGAATTATTGTAAACAGCTTCCGTTATAAATATCATTCAGATATCTATAAATAGCTGGCAATATATTCTGGCTTTTATATATTCTTTTTGTGACAATTAGTGCGATCTAAATCACATTATCTGTATGTTGGGATAATTTAACTTCTTATAATGTTGAGAAACTGTCGTTAAAAATTTGACCGAATATGTTTAAAATATTTATTATCGTTGCGTCAACAAAATTTTTTTATGAATGCGAGTTTAAGAACATGGCATATAAGAGTATGAAATAAAGTCATTAATTTTTAAAATTTTATCATGATTGCGAACCAAGAGTAAATAAGTGCAGCTCCGTTTGTGACTTCGGTGATTTTCACAGGCGCTGATATAGCTTGATTTTCTAATCGTCGCGTATCTCATTTTCGAGCCCGATCTTGAAGGATGTTGTTGCTAAATTAAAATCTGTAAGCATGATCAACGTGCGGAAAATGCGCGGGGACGTTCGGGGCTAACGAAGAGAACGCTCGTAATTATCGGCAACCGGATTCACGGTAAGACGGCGTGGGCAACGAGATACCGTCGCGGACGTAACATAAATCCGACGACGTCGGCAATCGGGAATCTCATTTTCTTGCCGACCCGAAAGTTAAACACAGCCGGTCCGCTGTTATCGTATAATCAAGTAGTATCATCCGTTGAAGAGACGGCCGGGGGGAGGGAGGGAGAGGACAGGGCGAGTGTCGGGATCACGGTATGGGAGACGGTAAAGAAGAGGGCAAAATGGAATTTATCGGCCTGGCGTTTATCTCATTTTCTAAGGGCAATAGGATCCTCGTCTGGGCAGAAACTGCGGAAAGCCGCTCGACGTAATTTGAATTCACGCAAATAAAAGGCCGGGCGAAAGTCGA